GTGCTGGTGCTGGTGCTGGTGCTGGTGCTGGTGGGAGTGAGGGTCGACTTTGCGAAAAAGTCGGTGATCCTCGTGGCGTTGGGACTATCCCATATCGGCTTCTCCTTTTCCTTGTCCTTACCCTTGCCGGCCAAGTGCCTCTTGACCGCCTTGGTTGCTGGGCTCTCGACGAGTTCCGCCCAGGGCCCTTCTACTGCCCCACCATTGAGCTCGAGAATCTCGCGCCTTAACCTCCTCACCACCACGCCCGGAACGACGGTGGTCCTGAACTTGGCGAGCACCGCGTCGGGCGCCCACTTGAACTGCATCTGTGCCAGCGCTGCGAGTCTAGCCATATCGGGCGTGGATTTGGACCAGTCCACCTCGCGCCGAGTCGTGACCGGGTAGAGGTAGTACGCCAGCACCCTACGCGAATCCGGCGTGCCCAGAAAGCCGTCGAGTGTATCGGCGAGTTTAGGCCGGCGGGATGGGAGGAATCCGCGCGCATTGGTGCGCAGCTCCTCCCTCACCCCTTCGAGCCAGGTCCCCAGAAAGGCACTGAATGCACTGGATGCCGTGGCGGTAGAGGATGGCGTGGGATAGGCCGAGCGGAAAGCTCGTATGAGCGCCGTGCCGAATCCGGCCCTCGCGAGCGCAAGCGCAATCTTGACGCCACATTGGGCAAGACCCGTGGTGTCATAGTCGCCACCGGACATGAGCGCGATCAGGACGAGCGCGTCGCGATCCAGCCCCATCTCCTCGCTCGCCACAAGATCGTGTGCGGTGTACATCGTAATCAGGTGGTCCCTATCGGATCCCGACAGCTGCAAGTCTCCGTCTTCTGCCTGCGCTGCTTGCGTTGCTTGCGTTGCTTGCGTGGGCGGATCCACCTCCTCGGAGGTCTTGCTCGCTTTGGTGCCGGACAGATTCTTGCCCCAGTTGCGGATGACCACCTGTGCGCCAAACAGCAGCGCGTCGGCATCGTCGGTCACCACCGCATCCAGCACACCCTCTCTGCTCATCGATGCGAGCTGCGCCTCTGCCTCGCCCGGTGCACGCATCCAGCTGAATCCAAACGCCTCGATGAGTTCCGTCAGCGGTTGCTCCACCGCGTGCTGTCGCCCTTTCACCTGCTTGCCTCGCTTCCACGCCGGCCGATCCGGCCCGTCGAAGACGAACAGCACCAACACCGGTAGAGCAAGCAGCTTGGCGAGGCGGTAGAACAGCAGCCGCAGCGCAGGGTTCGAGCCGCCGCTCGACTGCTGTGAGTGGAAGAGCCAGAGCGACGCATCGATGCCGAGCCGCAGTGCGCGCAGCGAGTTGGTGTTGGCGGTGAGGGCGTGCAGAGTGTAAGCGGGTAGCGTTGTGGATTGCGCGGCGGGCGAAAGACACGCCCACAGGCCCGGAATGCCCATCACGACATTGTTCGCGCAGACACCGGCCGAGTCAGAGTGCGGAGGATGGTGGAGCAAAGACAAGAAGTCCAACACCGCGCACAAGAAAAGCATCAAAACAAAGTGCGGACAAAAGTGCGGCAAAAAAGTGCGGTCGAGAAAATAAAGTGCGGACCCTGAGAGCTGTCAGCCGCCAGTCCGGCTATCGGCAACTTGGCATCCTGCGCGGGTCGCACAGACCCACCTTGCTCCTCCCCACCATCGCCATCTCCTTCGCCGCAATGACCGACTCAAGCGCAGCTCACGACGTCGTGCTCCCGCTGCAGGGCCAAATTCGACCGCGGCGCGTCCATCTGCCTGCGTTCCTTCCCTCGACCTCCCCCGGCTCGGTGCTGGTGTACCTCGGCATCCCATTCGCGCAACCGCCCGTTGGCGCACGCCGTTGGCAAGCGCCACAAGGTCCTCTGCCCTCATGGCCGTCCGTGCGTACGTCCACCTTCGGTGCTGATCCGCACCAGGACTTCGCGGCGATGGAAGGCATGTACCGCGGACGCACCTCTGCCAAGACCACCATCCCGCGCACCGAAGACTGTCTGTACCTCAACGTGTGGGTGCCCACGACGCCTTGCTCTACGCCACGCCCCGTGCTGGTGTGGATATACGGCGGTGCGTTTGCGGTCGGCAACTGCTCGCGCCCGCTGCACGACGGTGCGCGCCTGGCACACGAGAGCGGCTGCATCGTCGTCTCGATCACGTACCGCGTCGGAGCCATGGGCTTTCTCGGCTCTCGTGCGCTCGTTGCCGCCGCTGGTGACTGGCCACTCCTCAGCGTGGATGCGCTACACACCAAGCCGAGTGCGACCCAGGTCGGAGCTGGAAATTGGGGGCTCTGGGATATCGTAGCCGGTCTCGTGTGGGTGCAGGTTTCGATCGGCGCGTTCGGGGGCGATGCGCACAACGTGACCGTGTTCGGCGAGAGTGCAGGCAGCATAGCGATTCACTACCTGCTGCTCAGCAAGGCGGTACCGGCGGGGCTGTTCCACAAGGCGGTGCTGCAGAGCGGCGTGGTAGCCACGCTGTTGCCGCGCACGACGCACGCGAGCCAGGCATGCTGGGATTTCCTCGTGCGTGCGCTCTGCCCGCACCTCGAGGGAGACGACGAGGCGCAAGTAGAGTACATGCGGACGCGCGTGCGTGCAGATCAGATCGATGCTGCCCTCCGGCCGCTCATCGGCAAACGGCCCAGGTCCGAGTACACTCCGACGCGGGCCGATGTTCAACGCCTCCCTGCGGCTCGCGAGGATGCAGACGAGCCACTCGGCGTCACGGATCAGTGGGGGCCCGTGTGGGATGGTGTGCTTGTCGACGCCGACTTTGTGGCTCGCGCGATGGGTCCGTTGCCGCCGCGCCGCGAGCTCCGGAACGGACGCGGAGGAGTGGTGCTCGGGCTGTGTGCCGACGAAGGCACCATGTTCAACTTTCTCGTCGCGACGTCCAATGCGCTCCTCGAGCACCAGGCACTTTTCCACCCTTCGCTCGCTGCCGACATGGCCGCGATGTACGGCTACAACGCTGGAGCGCTTGCCCAACCGCTTCGGGGCCGCGACAAGACGGAGCGGGACCGCACGGCGGCCTACACGTGTGCGACGTATACGGGGGATGCGCAGTTCACCGCGCCCATCCTCGACTATATGGTCGCACAGCGGCAGCAACGGGATGACGTGGCGGTGTACGGGTACTTGCTGGCGCACCGTCCGTCGTTGGGGATGCTGGATGCACTCACGGTGGTGCCCGAGATGACCGAGGACTGGGCGGCGTTCCACACGCTCGACATCCCGCTCGTCTTTGGCCTTACCGGCAGCAGCAGTGGCGAAGCGCACGCGTGGGCTGGCGACATAGCCCAATACGGAACGGATGCCGTCGACGAAGCCAAGACAGCTTCCGTTCTGTCGGAGCAAGGAGGCATGTCGAGTGGCGAGCGCCAACTGAGCATGACCATGATGCGCACGTGGGCGGCGATCGCGCGTCTGGAAGGCGAGCTCGTGCTACCCGACGCCTCAGTCTGGGCGCCACTCGGCTCGTCGCGCACCAACGGAGACCCGGGCAACATCGGCAACATTGAGCTGCTTGCATTCGGCGAGGCGCCCCAGGCCCCCGTCCCGCTCTTGCGCGAAAGCAACGAGGTTCGCGTTTGGCAGACGCAGCTGGGCGAGCATCCCTTCGCCCAGCACGCACCCGTGGGCGCGGCCTTGTTGCACCAGCGCGTGCAGTTCTGGCTCCACCAACCCATCTCCGGCACCAGCAAACAAACGTGCAGGGCCATGCAAAACTATTACGGCTGGATCAACGAGCCACCGCGCTTCTTGCCCTGGCCGCAAGCATGAGCCCCAGCCCAAATGATGGCGACGCACTTTGGCGATAGATTCAATGTGTACGGGAAGCGAGATGTAACATGCTAAAAGTTCGAGCGTGGAGCTTGCCTCCGCGGATATCTGGTGCGGCCTTGGAGGCGCAATTTTTGGCGCGCGATGCTCGTTACCCCAGCCTTCCGTGCGCGGCGTCAGCTTTTTTTCTGGTCGATGCCAAGGTGGAGGCATGAAGGCGCACTTTGCTCACTTGGCTGCCGCTGCTCGACCGGGTGCAGTCGACTCGGACCTCGATGGTGACGGCTTCGAGCACGCAAGCTACACGCGGCTCTGGCGAGACAAGATAGGTGTGGCACCAAGTGAGGATCTGCATTGGTGCTGACGGTCCTGGGGGCGGGAGGGGTGGAAAACGCAATGGGCGGATTACAAATCGGAGCGAGCAGCGAGCGTTCGGCCGCGATCGTGCTGACCCACCCCAGGCGGCAGCGTGGGAAAGGTGGGGTCGTGCACGGCATTCCCCTCCCGCGCTGCATACCGGACCCCACACGGGTGCACGTGTATATAGTCTTGCTGCTCCGCCCACCTCGCCCTAGATCCCCCTCACACTGCGTTCTGTGCTTTGCGACCATGAAGATCTCTGCCGCCTGGACGCTTTCGGCCGCCGTGTGGTGTGCCTCCACCGCCCACGCTGCGCCGTCTCTCGGCACCGACCAGCTTAGCCTCAGCACAGGCTCTGGTCTGGACACGCTCACCCTCGGGCTCTCCACCAAACTCTCTTCCGCCTTTGTGCGTCTCTTCCACAGCGCCAGCGGGGATGCTGGGGCGCAGACGGAGGACAAGACGATCTGGGAGGTGATTACGACGTCGGACGAGTTTTCGCAGCTGGCGCACATCCTCAACTACTCGTCCGACGCCACCAAGGACGTGCTGAAGCACAGCAAGCATCTCACGCTCTTCGCCCCGCTCAACTGGCACCATCACCGCGACAGCGACGACGCCGAAGCGTATGCGGATCTGTCGTTTGGTCCTGCGTCCATCCAGACCTTCACGCAGATCGAACGACAGATCGACGAGTACGAGCGCGAGTACGCCGTGAACGACAAAGACAAGGACGGGGACAAGGAGAAGAAGCGCGAACTCATCAGGCACCTTATCGACGCACATGCCATGTACCACCTGGTGCGCTCGGATGTCGAATTGGACGCCAAGACGATTGCGGACAACTCGAGCGTCGCCACGTGGCTCAACACTGGCAAGGCTCATGCGAACAACGATGGGACGGACTGGAGAGTGCGTACGGGCAAGAGTCTGCTACCGCTGCCTGCCGTCTATCTCAACTTTTACTCGCGCGTGGTCAAGCCGGACATGCGTGCGGAGAATGGGCTGATCCATGCGATCAAGTATCCGCTCATCATCCCGCCCGACGTACTGCAGAGCTTGTTCTTCGGACAGACGACCTTCTCCACCACCACGTCGGCGCTGCAGAAGGTGCACGCCGAAAAGTATCTCTCCTACCGACCCTATGCTCACCACCACAACCACCACCACCAGAAGGCGGGAGGTCTGAAGGAGGGACACAATGTCACAGGTGTGGCGGCAGAGACGGTGTTTGTGCCTACGAACCTGGCGTGGTCTCGTCTGCCGTGGGCGTTCCGAGCGTACCTGTTCTCGCCGTGGGGCTACCATCTGCTGCAGAAGGTGCTGATGCTGCATTCGCTGCCGCACGACATTGTATATGCCGACTTTGTCCATCACATCTCGCACTCGCACAAGTCGATGGTGACCGTCAAGGGTGGAGCCAACAAGACGTCCTACACTTTCGACACGGTGCTTCCGGCGATCGACGGTAGCAAGGGACAGGAGACGGTGGATGTGGACGTGTATCGGTACCATCTGCTGCCGGGCGGTAGGGGCCCGCTGCAGACGCGCATGGTGGTGCAAAACGTCAGCGTCATCCTCCAGGACATCCCCGCCAGCAACGGCGTCTTCCACGCCATCGACAAGTTCATCAAGCCCAAGGGTCACCCCGACAAGGGAATCTGGGCCGAGGTGGCGCACGAGGCGAGCATCGCCGGGTTCGGCAGCGTCGATCTGCATGCCCAGGCCGAGGCGGCGCTGTGGTAAGGCAAAAGCCTTTGACAGCTGTCAGACACGAGCCCACTTATCGCAACCCCTCCCTCCCGATTCCGATCTGGAATCGAACTTCACTCTGCGCAAGCTTTTGCTGGTCTTTGGTCTCGTGTTGTAGGTGTGTGGTCTGTGGGCATGGACGGGCACGTCGGGCTGACGCCGTTGGGGGAGGTTGAGTTTGACAGCTGTCCGAGGCAAGGCGTGTGTGATTGGGCAAGGCGGCCGAGCTTGCGCCGTGGCATCGTCCAATCGGGCGCTTGACTTGCAGGTCACGCCATTGCGAGTGCGCTCTGTCGTGCTCACAGCCGCGTGGGGGAGAGAGCCAAGCTTAACGAGCCAATCTCCTAGCTCCTGCGAGGAGGGGGAGGAGCTGATTGGACGCCAAAGAGGCCGGAAAGAGGCCGATCTAATCGGCAGATTGCGCGGCGAATTTGAGGCGAGCAAAAGTTTGCACCGGCCTGCACCGGCCTACAGGCCGCGCGTGGGAGTGAGAGAGAGGCAAACGCAGCCTCGCGGAACATTAGCACGTGCAGACTTCCCCCAACGACGCTCTCCCAACTCCCTAAGCCAGCCCCATACGACACAGTCCCATACGACACGTTCCAGAAGCCCATACGACACAGTTGAGAAAGAGTTGATCGAAGGAGTGTATTCGAGCAAGGAGAGCAGGTCAAGGGAGCGGGTCGAGTCATTGCTGTGCAGGACGGCTCGCTAAAAAGGGCGGCTGCATGCGATGCAGTGTGCTGCCTCCGACCTCGCATTTCCGCCCGCCCTCC